GGGGCCTCACTTGGGTGAGGAGATCGCCACTCGCCCGGAGGTGGGACTCATGGTTTTTCCGCACGCTCATTGGTTTTTCTAGAGACGGACAGCTATCGCTGACCAGCCGTAGCCTAGATGGGATGCAAGCATAGTCAGTGTCTCCTCTGAGGAAGTAGGACGCAGGCGGCGAGAACCGCGCATGCGCTGTGCTGTTCACTGGCAGGCACACCTAACGGGTAGGGGGAGAGTGAATCCCCACAGTGAGCCCAGCCCACGGAAGCTGAGCAGCTTTCCTGGAACAACTCCTTAGGGAGCCTCAGGATTGGGAACAACCAGTGCCCAGAAGCTGTCCCAGTGGGAATCCCAATATCCATTGCTTCCTACCTCATGTTGTCGTCCTGGCCGCGCCCAGCCCTTCCCAAGGCTGGGTTGTTATGATGCTGAATTATTAAAGAAGCCTTGCAGCCTGACGCCATCTCTGAGCAGTGCCCATCCCTCCACACCCCCTTCCCTGGAAGGCACCACGTAGTATCCACAGAGGGTCCTGAAGTTATTTACAAGACCACTTAATAACTACCCACTTTCTTGACTCAAAGAGTGTTTGTTAAGGCCCCATTGTGTCAGACTCAATGCAGTTTGCAAGCCCCTGTTCATGGATGCTTATAGTCTATGAGAAGACTCAAACAACAGTAAACAAAAACCAAGATGACCTTAGATAGTGATAAACGCTCAGAGCAACACAGCCATGTGATAGGACTGGGATGGGGGTGGGGTGCTCACTGAGAAAATGAAAATGAAGCTGGCATCCCAGTGAGGCCCCGGCCTGAGCTGGAGGAGCAGAGCGCTTCATGCCTGGGCAAGAGCAGGGGCAAAGGTCGTTGTGCTGTGGGCAGTTTGGTTGGCTCAGAGAGTGGGCCGGGTTGTACCTGGCCGTAGTTTCAGTAAGAAGTTTGAAGTTTGAAGATTATTCCACAATAAGTACAATGGGAAGCCATTCGATTTAGACAGGATCTTGAAATGACATGACTTATCACCACCTTGCGGAGTGGAAGAATTGTTGGGAAGAGTGAAAACAGATCACGTCAGAGTTGGGGAGAGGGCCGTGGTTTGAACTGGGGAGGTGGGGAGACTTGGATCAGTTCAGAACAGGATTGGGCCTGTTGGATGGAAAGAAAAGCAGTCAGGATGCTTCGTAAGCTTTGCAAGTGTGTGAATGAATGCACGATGGTGGTGCCACTTATTGAGATGGGGACCACCAAAGGAGAGTAGGTGGTGGGGGCAGGAATCGAAAGTTCAGTTGTGATAGCGGGCATATGCCCGAGTGCCCGAGAATCAATGGGCAGGAGGACTGAGGAAGGGGATCGTGTCGTAGCGAGACCCTACATGGGATGCTCATCTCTCTCTCTGTCATGTGTGCATACTTCCTGTCATGAATAAAGAAGGGAAGAAAAAGTTCCATGTGGCCACAGTGTACCTGAGATGCCCGTTAGACAGCTAAGCAGATGCTGAATGGGAGGTCAGAGTTCATGGGGACATCAAGGCTGTCGTTAGACATTCACACAGAGAGGGTATTTTAAGCCACTTTGATATGGCCACCTATGGAAATGAAGAAGAGTGGAGGTAGAAAATGAAAGGGTTCAGGAGAGAGCCCTCCGGTGTCAGAGAATTCACTGGAGGTGTAAAAGCTGAAGTCCGAGAGCAGGACACACAGAGGGTGAAGCAGGAGGGGGAAAAAAGTGTGATGTCTTCAGGCTCTGAGCAGTGCCCATCCCTCCATGTCCCCCTTCTCTGGAGGGCACCCCGTGGTATCCACAGAGGGTCAGTACCATTCCAAACTGCAGTTATGGAAGCCACGTGGTCATCCACCAGTACCCGTCCCCGGGCCGTCATCCTGAAACACACCGGGGGCACGGTTGCCCAAGATCCCGATGAGCTAGAGGGCCGGAGGACGAGGATTGGCATGACAAGACCCTGTCGAGAGTTCTACTCCCTCTCTTTTTTTCTCTCTTGCATACACACATTCAGGCTCTGTCATGAGTAAATAAAAAACTTCAAAAACTATAATGTCTTCAAAGACAAGAAAAACTCAACAGGAAAACTGATTATCTGGGTTAATTGCTACTTCGAGGTCAAGGAAGATAGGAGTAGACAGATGGTCCCTGGGTCTGATCTCACCCTGGGCTCTGAAAACGTTTCCAGCAGTGTCTGGGCAGAGGTAGGGGAAGGAACCTGGTGGGAGGGGAGGAGGGAACATATATCCAAGTGTGGAGGGAAGAGAGAAAAGCTTTCACTGTGAAAGGAGAAGAGGTACAACATGGTTGCTGGCAATAGTCTTGAAAGGACAGGGATGGGGTGGGGTGCTCGCTGAGAAAATGAAAATGGGGCAAAGACCCAAATTGGGTGAAGGCTCAAGCCAGATGGCAGAGTGACTCTTGCTTGGACAAGAGCAGGTGCAAAGGTCCTTGTGCTGTGAGGCAGATACAATGTTGAAATATAAGAACAAATTCTTGGTGATCAAGAGTGATCCAGGGGCCAGCAGGTGGCGTCGTGGTTAAGGTGTTGGACTCTCGCATGGCCAGTCAAGTGTCGAGTCCTGTACCTGGAGGCTTGAAACTCACACCAGGCGTGTGTGCATGGGTGACTAAAATCCTGACAGGAAAATGCATAAGAGATGGTGGCATAGCCATCGCCCCTGGGGGGGCGAGTTCTTCCTTTCTGTCTCTCTGTCTCTCTAGTGAGCACGCATGCTCTGTAGCAAAAATCTCTCAAAACTCCCCAAACAAAAACGAATGATCCAGGGGAGAGGCTGGATGGTAACACAGCAGTAAAAATGACACTCTGCAAGGCTAACCCACACACGGGAAGGTTTGAGGCCAGAGAGCTCCCTGAGTACACTGCACACGCGTGTGCCTGCGGTCTGAGCTGGCCAACGCCACAGAGTACACTGCACACGCGTGCGCCTGTGGTCTGAGCTGGCCGACACCGTAGAGTGGAAGGAAAGGGAAGCACCAAGACAGGGGTGCTATATCCCTGTCTTTTTCTGACTCCCTCATTCATGGAATAAATAAACACACCCACAAAATGATCCAGGAAAGAAGGGAACCATTGAAATTTATTGAAGGCTTACTTAGTGTGTTCGGAGCTTTACAAACAGTCATCTTCACAATGTCTCATGGATCAGGCAATTGGGGTTAAATAACTTGCCCGAGGTCATGCAGCTAGAGGTGGCAGAGCTGAGAGGCCACCCATCAGTCTGATGCTCCATGGCTGCCTCGCCACCCCATCGCACAGGCACGTGTCCCCTGATACTTAAACACTGGGACATGCCTTGCCCTGACCTTTGCCCTGAATGCCCCTGCAGGTCAGAAAGCATCACTCTCAAGCTGGGGGACAGGAATTGGGGGTTGTCACTTTCCCCCTCCCATGCTGGAAGCAGGGGCCCCTCCCTGCACAGCCTGAATACCCACGCAGACAGAACAGAAGCTCTCCCATTCCAGAGGGCAGGGCAGAGGCAAGCGGCAGGAGCCCCCAGAGGTAGGAGGGAAAGGGTCACTTTTGGGCGTGTATAGCAGGTTTCTTTTTGTGCCAGCCAGTGCAAGGGGGCGCTGGGGGCTGCTGGTCCCAACCAGCTGGTGCCTGTGGCCCCAGCGTTCATCTGCATCCGTTCAGTGTGACAAGCTCGGGTCAGAGCCCAGTCTCCCGACTGCCCCCGTTGAGGCTGAGGCTGTGGGGACGAGTACCACGCTCTAGCCGGCGGCCAGACAGGAGGCGCCGCAGGGAGGAGCCGGAGTTCAGATCACCGCAGCTGCGAAGGTGGAGGCTCTCTCGGCCTAGCCGGCCCCAAGGGCTCCGGGGCACCTGGAGGCAGGCATGGGGGAGGCCATTAAGACTGACCTGAGGCTCCAGGCTTTCCTAGGGATCTTTCCTGGCTGCCCCAACTCTCACCTGCTTATGTCCATGGACTCCAGTCCCACTGGGGTCCGGGGACTTCCTGGACATCTGGAGGAAACGAGTGACCAGGCCCCGCCCTGGCCAGCTGCCCTTCAGGTCCCCCAGGGAGTGGGCAGGTGCAGGGCCAGAGGGCAGGGGAACCTTCTGGAAGGTGGGCACAGGGCGCCGTTTTTCGGCTGAGTGGGCACGTAGCAACTTGGGGGAAGGGCAGCGGGCGAGGCGGAAGAGGCAGGCTTCAGAGCAGAGCCCTACAGTGAGAGAGAGGAAGAGATAAGAGATCAGAATGGGAGGGGTGCAGAGAGAATGAGGCAGTGCTCCCAAGCTTCCACCCCTAGGTGCCAACCACACGCCTGACCTGTATCTGCAGAGGAAACGGAAGCAGCTTCTTCCTCAAGCACTTTGGTATAAAGGTCCCTGAAGTCAGCTGGGAAGAAATGAGACAGAGATGGGGTGAGCGAGCACGCTCTGCAGAAGGCCTGCCGGTCTCCCTGGTTTCCCGTGACACCTGGAGCCGAGAGGTGTTTTTGTAGTTTCACGCCCCACCCCAATCTGGGGCCATTGTCTCTGCCCACACTGGCCAGCAACGAGAGGGCATGGCCCATGAAGAGAGGGGCCATGGTGGTGCATTCACCACTGCATCCTCCCTGGTCCCGCACAGTGCATGGTAAAATGCCAAGTGCCTTTTATGCTGTGTGGAGCGCTCCCTGTGTGGCATGGCCCCTCTCAGCAACTCTGGGGCCAGTATCATACCTGTTTCACAGGGGACAAACTGATCCTGCAGAGGGTAGTAGGTAACTGGCCAAAGCTAGGGGCTGTGGACCTGGTTTCAAAAGACAAGTCTGGGGACCAGCAGGTGGCATGGTGGTTAAGGCTCTGGACACTCCCACATGGCTGACAGTTTGAGTCCCGAACCTGGTGGCTTGCTTTCTCACTTTCTCTCTCTCTGTCTCTCTCTGGCCAAATGAAAATAAATGAATAAATAAATAAAATTAAGTAAATAATTATTTAAAAAATAAAAGACAAGTCTGGGGGCTGGCAGGTGGTGTGATGGTTAAGGTCGCTGGACTCCCACATGGCCAACTATGGTTTGAGTCCCGGGCCTGGCGGCTTGCCTCTCGCTTCCCCTCTCTCTCTTAGTTCTGTCCCTCTCTGGTCAAATTAAAATAAATAAAGTTAAATAAAAGAATAAAAGAATTATTTTTCTTTTTTTTGAGAGTTTTTTGTTTGTTTGTTTGTTTGTTTTTTTGCTATAGGGCATGTGCGCTCGCCAGAAAGAGAGAGACAGAAAATGAGAAATCCCCCCCCCTGGGGGGGTGATTGGCCATGCCACAATCCCTTCTCCTCCATTCTCCTCTCGGGATCTTGGGCATGCATGCACATGTGCCCAGTGTGAGTTTAAGCCACCAAGTCCAGGACTTGAACCGCAGTCAACTACATGGGAGTCCAGTGACATAGCCATTACGCCAACTGCTGATGTTTTATGAGGCTCACCCACAGGGGAAGGTTCCCAGTTCACACCCTGAGCCTCCCTGACCATGCCCATGATCTGGAGCTGGCTGGGGCTGGGTGTGGATTGTGGCTTTGGGACCTTGTTAGGGGTGCCATCTCTCCATCTCTTTCTCTCTTGCTCATGGAGAAAACAAATTAACTTTAAAAACAAAAACCAAAAAAAGGACTCCCCTTTTAGCAGCTAAGCTGTGGATGCTCTGTCCCTAGTGGGTGAGCTCTGGAGAATGTGCTACTGTAGGTGTGGACCCTCCCTTTCTTCTTCCTCAGTGACTCAGTAGTGACCAAATCCTGGTGGCTGCCACTGGCATCCTACCTCCCTCCCGATGTCTGCCCTCTCCTGCCCCTGGGTGGTGGTGGGGGGCTCACCAGTGTCGCTGGAGGTGGTGATGCCTGGGTCGCTGTGGGACCGTGGCAGCAGCAGCGGTGGCGGGGGAGCCGGATGAGGAGGCCGGTGCCCCGGTGGTGGGGTGAGGGAACCTGAGCTATCGCTGAAGCGGCGAGTGGGGGCTCGGCTGGGAGGGGCCGCGGCTGGGCGACTGCCTCCCCGGGGGACCCGCCGCCTCAGCTCAGGGAAGCAGCCTCCCACCCAGGGCGGCCAGCCCTCCAGCCGGTGGCAGCTGCGGGCAGCTGTGGGGGCACCCAGTGGGGGTGGGGCCTCAGGAGCAGAGCAGGAGGAGGAGCGGGCAGCCCGCGGGGGCCGCCGTGGCAAGGGACTGTCCTCAAAGGGGCCCCGCAGGCCGCAGTCCAGGCTGAGGCAGTAGCCCGCGCGGCTGCGCTGGATGGAGCGGAAGAGCACGTAGTCAACAGAGCGCACGGAGCCCTGCAGCTCCAGCAGGCACGAGTCCTCGGAAGGGCTGGAGCCCCCGGGGAGGTCACCAATGGCTGACAGTACCAGAGACCCGCTGTCCATCGACACTGTGGACAGCAGGGGGCGCTGGCTAGCACCGGCCTGACCCAGCCCAGCCCCGGGCAGTTCCCAAACCCTCCGGTCTCTGGAGGCCACTCTCCTCCACCCTGCAGCTGTATCTCAGAGGAGACAGACAAGTGCAGGGACCCAAGGAGCCACCCTCATTTGTCCATAAGTGACAGCCTTCTGCTTGCAGCCAGCCCCGCTATCCCCGCAGCCCTGCCCTTGCCCACCTTGCCCACTCTCTGCTCACCATCTACAATAGAGGCCACTCGCTCGCAGATGCAGGAGCCGTCATGCAGCTGGGGATCGAACAGCGTGGCCTGCAGGAGACACCCAGTCAGGTGCCAGGGGCGGGCACTGACCCCCGACCTGTGCTGCACAGGGCTGGAGACCCAGATTCCAGACCGGCTTGGACACTTTGTACAAGTCACCTAACTGAGGTGGGCCTCAGTTTCCACAGCCATAAGACAGAAATGATAGTTCTCATCCCACCCACCTGGCCCGGCTCTAAGGAGGCCCAGCGAGGGCAGAGGGTGTACAGGAACTACCAACCATCACAAGAGCTGTGATGATCGCTGGTCCAGCTACCTCCAGCTTTCCAGGCCCCACCTCCAGCCCCCAGCCCACACCCAGCCCTGCTCTCACCTGGCTGTCTCCTCGTAGCCCCATGACGGCCTCATAAGAGGGAGGGCAGTCAGTTGGGTACAAGGGCACCGGGCTGTCCATGGAGCCGTTGTATGTGATGCTGGCAGGATGGGGAAGAGGGTCAAAGCCCGCAGAGTAACTCCTCCACCAAGGCCGCTCCCCATCACCCAGGCGCAGCCCAGTCCCCTCCCTCCGTCCCCAGGCAGGAGCCCCCAGGCCTCACCTCTGTGCGTCCGTTTCTGAGCTGCAGGTGTACTCTGGGGGGTAGTAGGGTGGCGGGGGCACGGGCGGTACAAATTCCTCCAAGTCCAGCATGGTGTGTAGGAGAGGGGCTGGGGGCGAGGACGTGCAGCCCAGGGCCCCCAGGGGGCCTGAGACTGAGCGCTCAGGGGCCAGCTGCTGGGAGCGAGCAGGTCAGCAAGTTTGGTTTCTGGGAATACAACTCTTCCCTGGCTCCCACAGTCCCCTCACATCTTTCCTGGCCCATCCCTCACCTGGAACCCCCTCCTCCTTAACCTAGCCCCGGCAGGAGCAGGAGCGCCAGCTCTGGCCCTGCCCACCTGGAAATGCTTCCTCTTTCAGCCTCACGTCCATCCCAAATGGCCACTTGTTTTCTGTCCCCACAGGAATGTCCACCCTCTATCGTCTCCATCTAGGACCCTCTCAAGTCCACCCCGCCTTCAGTCCTACTCTCTAATGCCCCCTCCAGGTCCTAGCTGGCATCACAGACTACCTCCCTCCCTCCTGGCGTCTGTCTTTTTCACCCTCCCTTTGAACCCTTAAATACCCCCTTCATTAGACATGCCTACCATGACCCACAGGTCCTGGGCTCAGAAGCCAGCTCTGTAGCCAAGGCCCCAGGTCCAGTCCCAGCTTACACGTCCCCACCCTCCCGTACCTGCCCTGGCCGGGCCCGGGTCCCCTCTCACCGCATGCACAAGGTCCAGGGAGAAGATCTGGATGCAGCAGACGATAGCCGAGAGGGTACAGATGATGGCGGCACAGATGGTGAGCCCACAGACACTGAAGAGCAGGTTCTGGGGGCAGGAGGAGAAAGGAGGGCAGTGAGGAGCCGGGGCTGGGAAGATCCCAGCAGAGGAGGCGAAGTGAGAATCAGGACAGGACACTCGCTCACCTTGAGGGCTCCTCGGGCTTCCTCACAGGTGGAGTTGAGGGCAACTTTCAGCTCCTGCCCTGACTCAGGACAGGGCCGGAGTAGGGGGACAGAGGGACAGCACACACAGACCTTTCCATCCTGAGCCGGCGTGCAGAGAATGAGGCAGCCTGAGTCAGGACAAACCAGGTGGGCTGCACTCCACCGCCCACGGTTCTGCCCCGCTGTCCCTCCTCCCAACTCACCATGGAGCACTCTTGGAAGTCTCGGGCCAGCTGAGCATTCTTACAGGAGAGAACAGAGCCAGCCATGCTGAGCATGGCACAGAGCACCGAAAGCAAGGAGAAGAAGGAGATCTGGGGGAATAGGGTGCAGGCTCAGCCGGTGTGGAGGGTGGGGCCCGAGCAGACTCCCCCACCCAAAGACGGAGGGCTGGGACCCTCGGGGATCCCTCTCCACCAAGGACAGCGCCACCCTCCTTCAGACACTTTGGTCCAGCTCGCACCAACGAGTGAGCCAACTCCCTTCATGAGGGCATACACAGGCATCCCTCAGGTGCTGGGCACCTGCCTCCCAGTGGGCACTGGGTCCTGGCACCTACCACTAGAGTGAACGGCCGCTTCCAGGACACGATGCCAACCACCCCAGAGAACGCCAGCTGCGGACAGAGTGGGCACAGGCTCAGCCTGGCAGGGGAGGCACCTGAGTGAGCCCCTCACCCAGCCCCTGTAGGGAGGGAGAGGACCAGGAGAGGGAGGAGAGGCCAGCATGTGGGCTTGCAGCTGGTGTGGAGGGTGGGGCCCGAGCTGACACCCCCACCCAAAGACGGTGCACCCAACTCACCGAGAACCCAGCCCAAGATGGGCAGGACCTTTTGATGCTCTCAGTGGTGGTAACAGAGGAGGCCACCATGCTGAAGGTGACCACCAGGATGCCCAGGAGAACCTGGGCCAGCCCCAGCGTGAGCAGGGCCTGCAGCCAGGGTCGGTGGAGGCGAAGGTGGGTAAGGCCCCGCGTGCTGGGCCGACTGGTCAGCGAACGGCTGGAGTCGCTAGGCGAAGGCATCATGCCTGCCGCCTGGTTGCCTGTGCCTCGCTCGGGCCCCCTTGGCGCTTGGGAGCATCTCAGAGGCGCCCAAGGCCCCGTCCTTTCTCTTCTCCACCCCCCTCGCTCTAGAGCCCACCCCCTGGCTGGGTCCCGTGGGGCATGGCCCAGGGACGCCAGCTGGGGGGGGGCCCGAGCGAGGGGCGTCACGGGGGGACCGCGGGGTGCTCCCTTCCCACCACGGGCACCGGACGGGCCCCGTGCCCGGGGCGGCGATGAGGACGCGGGAACACCAGCTCATCGCATCTCCCTAGAGAAGAGGAACGCCGAGAAGGGCCGTCCGGGAGTGAGGAGAGGGCGGCGGTCCAGGGAAGGGTGGGGAGGGTGAAAGCAAGAAGGATGAAGCCAAGTCTAGAGAGGGAGGGTCGGTGTCCCGTGGATTCCCGAACCGCCCGGTGGGGAGAGGCCGCAGTACCGCTGCTGTCTCCTGCTGGGCCTCCTGCCCCGCTCCCCTCCCCACCCGGCTCCTCTCCGGGAGCTCGGGCTGCTGCAGGTCGGGGACTGGAGGCGGGGGGGATGGGGACTGGGGTGGTGCGGGAGAAGGGGCGTGGCGGCGATGGCCGGCGCGGTGCACCCCGGGAGTTGTAGTGCGGGACGAAGACCCCCAGCGGAGCGCCGCAGGGCAGGCAGCTGGGGCGAGGTGGCCCCAGTGCGAGGCCCTCTGCCTTGGCTCCTTCTGGGGAGCGCTCCTCCGGTCTCTGCCTTTCTCCAGACCCTGATGGAGCTGCTGACGAGTCTTCCCGGCCCATTCCCGGCCCATTCCCAGCCCACTCGAGCCCCATCCAACTGCTGACTCGCTGTCCCCAGGTGGGATTGGGAGGAGTTGGGAGCAGGGCGTTTCCACCCCTACCGTGGGAACCTCCCACCTCCTGTACCAGCCACCCGGGCTCCACCGCTGCTCCCCCACCCTCCCCAGCCGCGTTGACACCAGCGCTTGGCAACCTTCCCTCTGGAGTTCACACCCTGCTGCTTGGCCACGCTCTTTCACTTTCATAAGGCCTCATACCCCCAGAAACCAAAGAGACGAGAATGTGAGTTCCACTTCCATTTTATTTTTATTTAAATAACTGAAGCAACAGCCTTGGCACAGCAGAGGGAAGCGGGTTGGGGGTGTGTGAGCGGTGGCAGCAGTGTGACCTGATAGGGGAAAGGGCAAGCAGGGACTGGGTCACAGTGGGCTCCCCACACCCCTAAGTCAGGTTCA